AGTCTCTGCTGGTAATGACTACCCAGCGGATGACACTCACCTCTCTGAACAACAAAGAGCGGAAGCCGCCTTTATGGCTTATCGCAAATCAAAACGCCGTTGGAGGCGCTTTATGAAGAAACCAGTCAGAAAGGTGAGACGTGCAGTACGCCGACATTTCAAACGATTTGGAAAGGGTCGTGGCAAAGGGGGTCGCAGACGCCGTATGCATGGTAGGGGTATTACTGCTTTCCTCACGTCCTTAACTGATATGGCTTTTGAAGAAGTTCTTATCGGAGGCAAAGGTCGGGGTCACAGGCGGACCTCCGGTAAGGGAAAGGGGCGGAGGGGCAACCCTAGGGACGCTTCTGGTAATACTATGAAGTGTCATACATGCGGTAGCACAGAGCATTTGCGCGATCAATGCCCGAAGGGGAAAGGAAAGGGATCTGTACACTTGGCTCAAAATTCTTTTATGGATGACATAGATTACATTGACTACGAGTTTTACGTCAATCCAGAAGCGGCTCCCGCTGCGGGCTCCTCCACGTATTACGTGATGGCCCGCTATGCTGAAGCAACCGTGGCCCTGGAAGACTACGCAGTGACCCTCTTCGACGAGTTCCACGGCTGGGACGAGGTCGATGAGATTGCGTACAATGCTTGGTTCGGTCTTCCAGCGGGGCCACCCGCCGGTGACGAGGTCTCCGAAGCCGAGACTGTCCCGGCAACAGAGGAAGAACTCACCGCCGCGCTGGCCCCACAAGTGATTGGCATGCCGTTGCTGCCAAATCCGTCGTGGGCTGGCTCGGAGATGGGAGACGCCGATGACGAAATGCGGGGCCATCCCGCGTATTCCGACTCCGAAGAATCCGAAGAAGATTATAACGACATGCTCCAAGAGCAGGTTTCAGAAGCAATCCGACTCTTGAGTGCGCCAGCACAGCAGCAGATGACGATGAACGAACTGCTGTCGCACCCAGGAGTTGCCCGTCTACGTCCATACTTGGATTCGAACATGTCAGCATCTCAGATGCTTACAGCACTCCAAGCTCTAGCGGGGTCACCCGCCGAAGAGATGCTAGACACAACAGCGGGGCCACCCGCTTGGTCTATGGATGTATTCATGCAAGGTTGCGATCAAATGAACATTAACGACCTCTCGATGGAGCAGTTAAATGACATCGGATACTTCAGAAGCCCGTATCAAAACGTGTTCATGGTCCAGGACAGCTCAGAGGACTCGGAGGACATGCGGTACGCCAAGAGGGACAGGCGACCGTCGCCTCCCCGAGACTCAGAGCATGACGATCAAAGGCCAGTGACACGTGGTAGTGCGTCAGCGGGGCCAGCCCGCGGAAGGAGCCGCTCAGCTCCTAGACGCCCTACGCATGATGAATCGGGCTATCCATACAGCACTGAGCACTCCGTTGGAGTATCTGCTCAGCAGGTGCCGGATTGGTACATCAGATGGTACCCCGGCTACTCTATGGATACTCTTCGGCACTGGTATTCTAAGGAATACTGTACCAAAAGGGGCGAGACTGGCGCGATAATCCGTACCAAGGGCGGCAAGACCAAGACGCCAGAGGCCTGGGACAAAAGGGCGAAGAAGCAGGAGATCATCACTGACCGCAAAACGTACAGAAAGCAAGTATGTCAGTGTGAGCCCTTTAAAGGCCACATGCGCAGGTGTCCGATGGACCGCCCCTCCAGGAGCCCTCACCATGGAGAGACCCCGTGGAATTGGTCTCATGGAGACGACGCGGGTAACGTCCATGATCCGAACAAAGAGGTTCCTGGAGGAGGAAAGCGTATCACAGAGGCCGATCGCGTCCCTATGACCGAAGAGGTGGCCAACACCGTCAAGGAAAATTGGGCAAAGCTTCCCAATGACCACCGCCTCAAGGAATGGAACCGCCGATTCCATAAGGAAGCGGGGTCACCCGCAGAATCCAGTAAGGAAGCGGGGTCACCCGCAGAATCCAGTAAGGAAGCGGGGTCACCCGCAGAATCCAGCAAGGAAGCGGGGTCACCCGCAGAAGCAGCACCAGCCGCTGGATCTGCGGACGAGTGGATAGACGTTGTCTCTGCTGCCGGGTCCGCCGCCGGCACTGACCGCACCGAGCTAAATGAAGAGTGGGCGGCGGAAGACGGCTCAGAGAATCCATTCCCTGACGGAAGCGCCTGCTGGTACTACAGTTCTTCGGCGCAGAAGTGGTTTTGCACGAGGGTAATCTACCGCCATGAGAATGGCAAGTACAAGCTGGCCATAAAAGGTACTGCCGACATCGACCAGATGAGGCAGGTCATCCATGGTCATGGCCAGCCAGAAGGCCCTCCTAGAGACCCTCCTGGTCCACAACCGGGCAGGGGCAGCAGACCACCTCCAAGACCTGAAGCCGACTCCTCGTCTTCACCGACTCCGGCAAAAAGGCACCCGTCCAAGAGCCCCGAAGGCACACAGGGGCGGGCGAAGGCCAGAGGGATCGCCAAGACGGACGACCCTGAGCCGGTGAAT